CGCTCGGGGTCCGGCGCGGGGGCGCGGCTGCCGGCCCGCCTGCGCTGCGAGGGCGGCCACGTCCTGGGCCCCTCGCTCGCTGGCTCGCACCTGCTCGCGCCTCAGGTGCCCCAAAATTAAGGTCGCGGTAATTGGGATGGAAGGGGCGGAGGTCCGCCCGAAAGCAGCCCGGTCTTTGTGCGCGGAGACTACGCAGGACAAGGACCTGGGCCGGCTCGGCTCCCCCGGAGGCCCCGGCCGCGTCCTCCGCCTGCCGATGCTCGGGCGCGTTGGGCCTCCGATTTCCTCCACATTTTTTAGCTTCATAGTTCACTCGGAGCTTACTGGCTGTCTTCCAGTCGACACAGTGTAAACAAACAACCCCGGCCGTGCTGCGACGAGCTGGTGGCGCCCAGAAACATTTCGCACGCCAGTTGTCGTCATAACCTACATAACATCCCTGCCTCATCCCACATGCACGTCATCTGTGCATTTCTTGCCGGCAATTTTCTTGTCCTTCCTGTTCTTCGCCAAGAGGATTAGATAATGTTACACATCTTAGACTCTTTGGGATGCTTGTTAGTTGCTTCATCTGTTTTATGTGTTTGGAAATCAAAGCCCTCATAAATTGATAGCTTGTAGTAAATTGTTAACACAGGAAACATATTGTTACACTCATTGGCTTTCTGATCCCTGCGTAGAACGACTGTTTCTTTTCTATCTCCATTTTTTTAAGTCCATTTATTGACTCACAGGTGTTTCTAGTTGAATACTTTTTAGACAAGCTATCAATGATCTGTAAATTTGCACTTGGACAGAAGTAAAGTAATTGTGAATAGGTTGCAGAAAAGAGAAGCAATTCCAAGTTTACACAGGTCTTAAAAATAGGACTTAAGGTCAAGGAGAAGTTTCTCATACTGTTACTAATCTTTTGGAATTTGGTGTTACTTTGATGTAGACAGACAATATTTTATTAGAATTTGCATTGAAGCTGTCATGTTTGTACTTACTGCGGTTCACACGAGAGAATTTTATGCCCTTTGATACTCATTGTTTTATAGTTTCAGCTGTTCATTACTACAAAAAGATGATAAAATTCGCTGTTCATATTTCAGTTACAATCTTACATTAAACAGAACGGTAAGCAAAAAGGGTGTATAACTCAGCAGTTGTAGTGGACAAGAGGTAAAAAGCCAGACCATACCAGTTTTTGTATCCCAGCTTCACTAATTATTAGCTGAGAAATTTTGAGTAAGTTAATTTTTTCATTTCTGATAAGGGATGTTTACCTTAAAAACAAAAGTTTAAAAATCCTATAGTTAGAGTTTCCATGCAAACAATAGGTGAGTCAGTTACTTATTAAAAGTTATTAAAGGTACTTGGCACATAACCTCTTACCTTCTTCTCTTCTGAAGAATGGAGGATTAAGGTTATTTTGGTTTTTGTTAAGCATTCATTGATATGCTAAAGAATAGCTAGCTTACACTGTAAACACACTATTAGGATTTAAGTTACTTATTACTTTCTATTGTTTATTTGGGGATCTGAGTTTTGGGATTTTTGGTTTTTTTAAAAACAGGGTCCCTTATACAGTCCCAGCTGGCCTTGAACTCACAGTGTAGCTGGAGGCAATTCTCCTGCCTCGGCCACCCACATGCTGGAATCACAGGTGTGCACCACTACCCCTGGCCTGATTGTTTTTAAAAAATGTGTTTGCATGCTGCAACCTGAAAATTATTTTCCTATCCTGAAAGTTTTCTACATGGCTGTGTAAAGTTTTTGTGGGAAATCTTGGAGTACTACTTTTGTGAAGTTGTGACAGATTTGTGGAAGTACTCTATCCTGAAAAATTCCTCATCTTTTTTTCTCCCAGAGAATCAAAGTAGGTATTGGCACCACTTGAAGTAAAAAGATCAAATGTAATGACATACTTCAGAGTTTGTTACAAAAAAGATTCTATGGTAGGACTTTAAAGGCACACTGGTGTGCAAGATCAACTGAATTTCCTGTCATTTGTTGCTTGATGTTTTATGTTAAGAGACTATTTTGTGTTAAGTATCTTTAGTGACCTTGGATTTGGGCTTCTAAGAGGTAGCTGATTATTTTGTGTTTTTCTAGTATAATATGTCCTCAGATCCTGGTGTTTTGATGTCTTGTCAAAATTGGGAAGCAACAGGACTATTGTCACACTTCCTTCTTGGACCTAAATTATCAGTCACTGAAAAGCTAAAATGAACTATGTGTTCATTGACATTCTGTTGTAAAATTTTAATTATTGAGATTCTCAAATGAGTGATATAAATCCAGATTAATAAAACATTTAAAAATAAAATTTTTAGCCAATGTGGTGGCACACGCCTGTAATCCCAGCACTTGGGAGGCTGAGGCAGAAGGATCATTGCAAGTTTGAGACCAGCCAAGGCTACCAAGTGAGCTCGAGGCCAGTCTGAACTGCAAAAATACAAAAAGCAAACAAAAAATAAAGTTATTTAAGAAATGCAATGATGTACATTTTTAAGAAAACATGGTAACTTCATGTAGAATAAGTACTGCTTTACTAGAAACCTGGTTTAGAATCATGTTAAGAAATTTAAGAGTCAAAAAGTTTGTAGTGGGATTTGTTTGGAATTCTGTTGCACAGATTCAGTCTGGTACAAAAGAAGAATGGTAGACTTAGGTTACTGATCTTACCCAACAACCTTGTGACTCTGGATTGCTCGTTAAGATAGTAAAACTAGATTTAGACCAATCTTCTTGTTCCCACTTGATCTTTTTTGGAGTTTTTAGCTCAGGACCTTGCACTTGCCAGACAGGTGCCTGTGCCACTGAGCTATGTCCCTGTCCCTAGTTTCCAGTTGAATATTCTTTCCAGTTCATCACTGATAAAAATAAGTTATTATGAAATAATTTAATTCTACTTTTTTATGTTGTAAAACAAAGACTTTTATGACTTACCCCACTGAAGAGAATCATTCCATCCACACATCATTATGTGTACACTATCCAGTTAAATTTGGGGACATTTTAATGGCTTACTGCTTCTTAGAACTTTTATCACCTCTGTCAGTTATTTTTGTTGCACCCATCTGTCCCTGGCAGTAAAACACTACTTTTATCGTGGGCTTACGTGCTTGCTTTCAGGAAAGGAAAGAAAAGAAAAGTGAAAGTTTGGGCCTCTGCAGCCAGATTGCAGGTCTGACTTCTTGAAGGAAGGAGGAGGAAGCCAGTCTTCAGTCAGGAAACTTCAAAGGTTTAATAGAAAGCTTTGCATTCATCTGGCAGACCTGCTGCTGCAGAGATGACACAATAGACGTTAATTAGAAGTATATAAGAATACTGCTATCATCAGGATTGAGTAAATGACTTTTCTGAGGTTCCCTCCAGCTTTCAAATTTTATTCTGTTAACCCACTATTGCATTCTCACAAGTACTTTGCACTGCTATTTTTTAAAATAATTTTATTGAGAAACAAATAGCAATGAGACAGTTTCAAAACTGATTAGTAGGACAGTTTCAATAATTAATACATAGGGGCCGGGGAAATGGCTCAGTAAAATAAGCACTTCCCTGCCAAGTGCAAGGGCCTGAGTTCAATCCCCGGTTCTGCCAAAAAATAATAATAATAATAATAATTAGTACATTGCATATTGTTTTCTTAGTGGTTATTCATAGTACAAGATGCAGACATGATATCCTGTCCACAAATACTATTAGAACAAATCTTTCTGTTCATTGAATTAAGAGAAAGTAGCTATATATCTATCCTTCTGAATATGTGGTTACAAAATGGTCATTTGTATCCCCTTTTTTTGTGTAGTTTTGTCAGAAGGGTATTGCATTGTCATTTAAATATTGTAGGTGTATGAGTTCAGCAAAATAATCCAATATAGTCCAGTAGTCCATAATAGTAGTTGGTTTTCCATAGTACTGGCAATGTCAGAAGTTATTGAGCCTTTCACAACTCAGCATATTAATATGGCTTTACTGTTTATACTTCATTTTTATACTTTTCTGCTGGACGGTTGAGACCAAAATAAAGCAAGACCTGTATAACAAGAAATGTAACTTTTGTGTCTGACAAAGGTCAGTCAAATCCCCCCAGGATTTATCCTGGAACCCTGTACCGCAGTTTGTAGATCCTTTGTCAGTGTCAGCTGTGTAGATGAGTCATGGCCATTGCTTGCCCAGTTTGCTCTTTGTGAAAGCCTTAGAGAATGTTTTCTCTCCATGTGACTCTCCTTAGGCGCACACTACATCATTGATCACTTTCCTCTGTGGCCCCATAATCTCCTTGATCAGAAAATTTGGGACATAACTGAGCTACAGGATGTTACAGTACAGGTTCTCCTGTGTCCTGAGTCCTCACTTACTTTGAAAGGCTGGGGCCAAAATGTTGCCTGTCCTTGCAGCCCTTTTTTTTCTCTAATTTTTTGTCTGCATACTTAGGTTGTTAACCCTCCAGAAGAGAAGCTTATTATTATTATCCTACAACATAGGCTGCACTGCTGTTTTTGTACCTCTGTAAATGCATAGTAGATACTATAACCACTGTTATTTGAGTATTAATGTGTTCTAAAGCATTTGAGTATTAATGTGTTCTAAAGCAAACGTAATGTGTGTTAAACAGTTTTATAAGATTGTTCTAACCAAACTTTTTGATTTAAATAACTTTGGATTATAATTTGCAGTAGCCAAGGCATTGATATTCTGGGAAAGGCAGTCCAGCCTAAACTCATCCGCTTTTGGGGACCTCAGTCTAACACTGTTGTGCTCATTATTTGAACTAAAAAATTTTCTCCATTTGTTTGACAGTTAATGAGCTGGCTTCTGTTTATTAGTGCATGCTAATACTTTTAAAGGTTTCTATTTCTTCTTGAAAGTCTAGAAAACTTAGGAAAATATTTTGTTCATATCAGAAAGGAACAGAGAGGAGATGGTATAGTGCAAAGTGTAAGCAAGACGATAAGAGTGTTTCATATACCCTCTAGGCTGTGGCAGGTGAGCAATGAAGGCAGAGAGACACCACACAAGGTGTCCTGTATTTAAAATCAACTTTCATAGTCACATTTTCATGTCACTCTTCTGCATCAGTCTCTTGCTTGCTCCAGATCTCCAGCAGATGGCACGAGTTACATCGTTTTCATCTGAAATGGCTAACTTAGAAGTTGCTGATAATTTTATGCAAGTATTAGTGGAAAGGTAATTCTGTGTGGAGTTGGAAAAGCTTATACAAATTTTGTAACTTCTGAGTATCTTCATTGATGCTTTATAGTGTCATTATCAAGGTAGAACTGCAGTTGTAGAAAGATTGGTTAACTTGAAATTGTTCAAATGAGATTTAAAATTTTCCAAGTACAAAATAACATCCAATTTCCTTGTTCCTGTGCTGCCTTGGTAAGCAGTCAGGAGATTAGTGCATTTATATGTGATCAGTAAGTGGTTCAACTGAATGTTAGTGCATGTGTTGAATTTCTAAACAATGATTGTTCTCCACAATCACTTTCCTAGATTTTTTTTTATTAAAAAAAACTATCCTTGGGGCCAGGGAGATGGCTCAGTGGAATAAACGCTTCCCTGGCAAGCGCAAGGGCCTGAGTTCAATACCCAGTTCCACCAAAAAAAAAAAAAAAAACAAACCAGCAACAACAACCAACTATCCTTTTCGTTGCTCAACTTAGAAATTTTGACATTCTTTACCTAGCCATTTCATTAATCTTTTATCCTTGAGTTTTACTTGTTTATATTTGAAGTGTTTCAGATATCTACATTTGCTGCTTTTAGTCCTGTATCACATTTACTTGAATTTGCATTGATATTGCAACTAGTTTCCTTGCCTTTTTTTCCAATTCATACTACATACAACCGCTAAAACAATGCTTAAGCTGTTTTTATAATTCCGATCAATTAAAAAATTACTAGTGTTTCTTCTATTACATATAGGGTAAAGTCATATCTTTCTCAACTGCACTGAAGACTGTTCTACTTAACTATGTTTGTCCTACCAGTGCTTCACATATAGCCTCTATTGAAGCCAGATTTTATATTCATTCTCACCCACAGTGTTTATGGTCTTCTATTTAGTTAAAACTTGCTTATCTTTCAAATTTAGCTCCTTGTTTAAGAATAGTTTGCTGGCTGTTCTCATCCCCATTAATAATTTTGCTCCTTCTTATAAAATTCTTTTCCTACCTCTTTCAGAAATTAACTGTTGCTGCTTTTGATAGTTATGCAACAAAGCCTAGGTACCATGCCTTTATTTATTTATTTATTTATAAATCATTTATTTATTATTTATTTGGTATAGGATCTTGCTATGCAGCTCGGACTTGTAGTGATCCTCTTGTCTCAGCCTCCCCAGAGCTAGGATTAGAAGCATGCACCACCATACCTGGTTTCAGTGGCCTGCACAGTGCACCCAGGATTCCAGGCTGGCACAGCATGAAGTACCAGGGGTCAAACACAGTACCAGGGATTGAACCTGGGTCCTTGCACTTGCCAGGGAGGCATTTAGACTGCTAAGCTATCTCCCTAGCCCCGTAAATCTTTGATATTAATTATGGCACCTAAAATTAGGATAAACACTCAGGAAGTATGAATTTGAATGGTTTTCTGCCTTTTTGCAATCTTTATAAGTAAGCCTAACCCAGTTATAAATAATCAGTTAATTAGGTTAACTTGTAAATTGACAATAATGTATCAGATGAAAAATTAAGCATATGTGGGTATGATTATAAAATATATGGTTCCTGTAAACCATTTAAAGTTTCATTTTCAGCTATTGTGTTTATTTTCAGCTAATAGATGAGCCTTCTAGAAGTACAGTATATTGCTCCAACATAATTAAATACTAACATTTAACATATCAAAGTTAATAGATTTTGCATGGTTTCACCAGTTTTACTAAATAAATTTCCACCATTCTTTCGTTCGTTCATTGATTCATTCATTCATTTTGCGGTACCGAGGATTAAACTCAGGACCCTGTGCTTGCCAGGCAAGTGCCTAATCTACTGAGCTATTTCCCTGGCCCCCTCCACCTTTTATTACATCAAGAAGGATACGTATAGGTCTCAAATTGTTACAAATCTTATAGATGTTAACTTTAGAGTATTACATTTTAAATTTGCAAATTTTAAGATTTTACTAATTAAAAATCGAAGTTTTTCATCAATATTGTATTTGTTTTTTTTTTACAGAAGTCTTTGTTCAAGTTGAGTGATTTGAGTTTTTAATTTTTTACCACAAATATCCCAGAACTGGCAGCTCTAGAATATATAATAGAGAAGTTTGGAATAGATATAGAAGGAAAAAAAAAAAGGAAAGATTAAAGCAGTGGTGTTTTTTGTGGGTTTTTTTGGTTGGTTGGTTGGTTGGTTGGTTGGTTGGTTGGTTGGTTGGTTGGTTTTTTTAAAGGCAGTATCTCATTTTGTATCCCAGGCTGACCTCAGACAGTGATTCCCCTGCCTCAGCCTCCCAAGAGCTGGGATTACAGGCATGCATCAAATGCCCAACATAGATTAAAGCAATCTTTGCAGAGCTACAATCCAAGCACTTTTATTAATCAGTTCTTCAAATGACATAATAATATATCTGTTGCTGTGCTTCTAATTTTTGCCTATTAATGAGGAGAAGGCAAAGTGGGAAAGGAGTTCCAGCCAATATCGAGTATCTTAACTACAGAGGAAGGAGAAGGGAAGGAGTAACTGTCATCCGCTTCTCTGTAGCTCTTGCAGTTACCATCCTGAGGCAGCTTTATTTGGCTAATTTGTGAACTCTTGTAGTCTGTTGGTGGGGGGTACACATGATTAGTGACTGTTACTTAACATTTATGGCACCTGTTTCTATGTAGGCATCAGGCACTTACTATTGTCCACATCTTATCTTTGTGGGTATTACAAAGAGGGCCTACAAAAGTGAAGGCAAATGGGTGCAGATCAGTTACTGTGCTGGAAACCTAACCCAGTACCATGCAGTTAAAGCGAGAAAGCAACAGGATTTGGACCTATTTGTATTTGAAAAATAATTTGGTTTTTTAAACTCTCCATTTTTCTCTTATAATAGACCTATTTCAGAGAATGCTTGAAAGCAAGGCCTATATTTCACTAGAAAGATTTACATAACAAATCTGTAAGTTCTTTAGTACATGACTTACTGAAATAGAGGGTTACGAGCTGCAGATGTAGCTCAGTGGCATGGTGCCAGCCTGGCAAGTGCAAGCTCCTAAGTTCAATTTGCAGTAGCAGAAAAGAGAAGAAATAGAAGAGTACACTAAAGTAATATTCTTTTTATTATAGGAAGTTGGTGAACCATCTAAAGAAGAGAAGGCTGTAGCCAAGTATCTTCGATTCAACTGTCCAACAAAATCCACGAATATGATGGGTCACCGGGTTGATTATTTTATTGGTAGGATTATATGAATCATATTAACATTCATAACTTCTAAGTCTTCTAAGTTTGGGCTATGTAGAAGTTTGTGTGTGTGTATGTGTTTTGTTTTGTTCCATTTCATTTTGTTTTTAATGTATTTAGTGCAGGGTCTCATTATGCAGCTCCGACTCATAGTGATCCTCCTGTTTTCACCCTTCCCAGCACTGGGATTACAGGCATGTACTATCAGGCCCAGACTTGGTCTCGGGCTCAGCATGGCCAGGGGCAGAGCTGGCGCAGCATGTGGTGCCAGGGATCAAACCCTGGTCCCTGCACTTGCGTAAGCAGGTGCTTAGTCTGCTGAGCTATCTTACCAGCATTGTAGAGGTTTTTAATTGCTTTTAAAGTATGATTATTGAAAGGGGATGATAGGCCTATGGCAGTTGATTATCTTATTGTTCCTTCTATGAGGAGCAATGTCTATAATAAATAATAGAGTACTCCCTAGTCATGTTTGTTGAATAGTTTATTGTCAGTGTTCTAAAACACTACCTTAAAAAAAAATAATAATAATAAAGTAACAACATATATGTGACTATAAAAAAAAAATAAAACACTACCTTTTGTTCTGGTAGTATGTATACTTCGAACTAACTAGGAGTTTTGATTCTTCACTTTATATAATATTATAAGTTGATGTCATCTGTTGTGTAGACTTCATAAGCTTGTGCCTGTGTCATCAATTAAAGTTGTCATTAATGTCAAAATTGTCATTATAAAGAAGACATTCCTTTAGTTTTATTAATGATTTTGATATTTATTGAAATTTTGAAGGAGCGGGGGATATAGCTCAGTAGCATGGCACCTGGCAAGCACAAAGTCCAGAGTTTGAGTCCCAGTTCCAAAAAGAAAAGATAAATTCAAAAACTAGACATGCTAATCTCTTCATGTCATAGGCCTTGCTTTCTTTTTTTTTTTTTTTTTTTAATTATTTATTTATGTGTGTTTGTGTGTGTGTATGTGGCCAGCTCAGCCCACCAGGGGGCGGGGCTGGCCGGCATGTGGTGCTGGGGGATTGAACCGCGGTCTCTGCTCTGCCAAGCTTGTTCTAAGTAGGTGCTTTAGACCACTGAGCCATCTCACCGGCCCTAGGCCTTGCTTTCAAGCCTTCTCTGGAACAGGCCTATCATAAGAGAAAATAGAGACTTTTTAAAACTACGTTATTTTTCTGGTGACAACAATACATTGTTCATTTATTGCTCAGTGGGTTTCTTAATGAAAATTTTTATTGTGGGGACAGAAAAGTTTTGATTCACTTTGTAATTAATTGTGATTATTTGGTGAGTGATAGTTACACAGATTTTGAAATTTTTATTACTAATATTTCCTCATGAGTTTATCTTGCTTTAATTAGCATTTCTGAATGCCATTTATTTCCCAGTCTTGCTTTGCAAAAGTGTTTATCAGTACATTTCACAAATTAAGGTTTTAAGGAACAATTATGATGATCAGTTAAACAATTTTCTATTGAGTTTCTTTTTATTTTGTTAGAATGTTGAAATTTGTCTTTTGAAATATTCCTTAGAAATGAATTTCTGTGTGTACTAAATTTAAAATCATAAATCTCTTCCTTAGCTTCAAAAGCAGTGGATTGCCTTTTGGATTCAAAGTGGGCAAAAGCCAAGAAAGGAGAGGAAGCATTATTTACAACCAGAGAGTCTGTGGTTGACTACTGCAACAGGTAGTGTTTATTTTTTAGTGAAGAATATTGTAAATGATAATTTAAAATGTTCGCTGTAGTCCTAAAATTCTTAACCTGTTTCCACCATTAAATGGAATGCTACAACAGAGATCAAACATAGATTACATATATAACCTAAATTTCATCACTATTTGGTTTTAGACTTGTTTTTAAATATAATTATTACTTTTTTTGTTTTGTTTTATTTTTTGAGACAAGGTCTCATATGCAGCTCAGGCTAGCGTTGAGCTCACTTTGTAATCCAGGCTGGTCTTGAGCTTGCAGCAATCCTCCTGCCTCAGCCTCCATGAATGCTAGAATTAACAGGTATACACCACCATGCCCAATGATATGTTATTATTTTTATATGCTTTTTTTTTTTTTAAGACAGGGTCTCACTGTGTAGTTCAAGCTAGTCTTGAACTCACTATATAGCTCAGGCAGCTGGCCTTAAACTAGGAGCAATCCTCCTGCCTCAGCCTCCATGAATGCTAGAATTAACAGGTATACACCACCATGCCCAATGATATGTTATTATTTTTATATGCTTTTTTTTTTTTTAAGACAGGGTCTCACTGTGTAGTTCAAGCTAGTCTTGAACTCACTATATAGCTCAGGCAGCTGGCCTTAAACTAGGAGCAATCCTCCTGCCTCAGCCTCCTGAGTGCTGGGATTACAGGCATGTGCTACCATACCCAGCCTACTGAACTAAAAGGTCAGCAGTAAACATCGCATACTAGTGCTGACAGTGAAAAGTAAGATTCTTTTGTAGAACGTATAGCCTGAGAATTTCTTCTAATGCTTTTATAGGGATCCCTGTTGTCCTTGCTTTTTTTATTTATTTATTTATTTATTTTTTTTATTTTTATTTATTTGAGAGAGAGAGAGAGAGAGAGAGAGAGAGAGAGAGTGTGTGGTGTGTGTGTGTGGCCAGCTCAGCCCACCAGG